TGACACCTCATTGGAATGAACATGAACATTGAACAGCTATCTTAATCTTAATTTATTCAATTTCGCACCTGTACCATTGGTATAAATTAGTTTACTTTTCGCACAAATATTTTTTAACTTGAAAATGGTGCCAGGATGACACCGAAACGTCGTTGCTCAGTTTTTTCGCTAATGATATCGTTATTTTGAAGTAAAATACCACCAAAAAAATTAGTGGCAGTCCTCGGCCACCATACATGTCTTCAACGAAATGATCAGTTTTTAATTTTTTTAGTTACAGAGAAAAATCATTAAACGGATGTGAAATTGAAATTAAAGGCTATAATTAACAATGATTGGCACAAAAGGCGTCTGAGATGGCCAAAAACCACATTTATATTCATAGCACCGATTGAAATATCGATATGCTTCCAAGTTTTTTCCTGAAAATTTCCTCCTGTATATTGCATTGTTTTTTGACTCGTCTGGCAGTGAATTCCATAGTCTCCATTCCAAGTTCTTCTGTTTTCCTTGATCTCGAGCCAGACGTAGTTGGTTATCTTTTGGTAGGTCAAATGTGTCTTATTATCATATCACCATGTAGACTGTACATAAAAATTTTGTGTTTAATTATATCTGAGACTAATTTAATTTGATTTTGAGCCAGACCTGTGCCTCTGCGATTTTTATTATTGCCATAATAAAAGAGAAAGTAACCCGTCGAGTTGGGGGTCACAGTACACTTGTCAAGACAGAAAATTTGTAATTTAGCAGTTAGGAACGGCTGCTCTTGTGTTGTAAATTGACCCTTACTAATTTCTCAAACGCGTGATTTTGAGCACCATAAAGGGTTTTATATCTTTGTTATCTTGTTATCTCTTATTGTCCATAACCAACCGCATCTACAGGATTGCTCGTTGCTAGGCGAAAAAAAAAACGGCTCTCTTATTACTTACCTCGCTGTTTATCGCCCGGAGTGCTCATTTAACAATTCATAGATCAAAGTGATTTTGGATAGCATTGGGCGAGAGAGTCAGTGACATTTCTTGATATTGATTTGGACAGGAACGAAATAGAATTATTCTAAGCATTGGGCGAGCTTTATACACCATGTTGTTGGCACAATGACTGTGGAATAAAGAGATAAAACGTTTTGGGAAAAAAAATATATATATACAGGAGCTTCCAGTGGGCAACACGAAAAATAATTAAAATGAAAGCACTTGGAGAGCTAATAATGTAACAAACGATTGACAACACTGCCATTAAATACCGTTTTTATTTGATAAACATTATAAGCTTCTTGTTGATTGGTCAGTTTCCAATATGTTACGTTTTTTATCCTTTATTTTGTGGTGCAGATGTTTAAGCACAAGGACAACATTTTTTGCCTCTCTCCCGCAACTTGGATACAGTATAATTGCAGTACAGAAACGTTCTGTGTCCTGTGCAGCATGAGCAATGCCACGGAAATCAGCAGCAATCAGACCAATTTCCGCAATGTTTCTGATTTTAATGTCTCCTGCAGCCTCGTAAATCGTACAACAGCAGAAATTTTTCAAGCAATTGCCTGTTCTTTTATTTTCCTGACGGCAACCTTAGGTAACACGATGGTGGTAATTGTGGTGTACAAAGAACGGCGAATGAGAACAACCGTGAACTTTTTGATCGTCAACATGGCTCTTTCAGATTTCCTGTGCTCTATGTTAGTCATTCCGAGAATCCTGACCGAATTGTATACCTACCCGGAAGCTTGGTTAATTACGGGAACAGCAGGTCTCACCTTTTGCAAGGCTGTGCGCTTTTTCCAAGACGTCACTGTGGCCGTGTCGCTACTCAGCCTTCTGATGATTGCCGTTGAACGTTACTACGCAATTTCTTGTCCAGTCGTCGCAGATCCCATTCCTCGAAAACGATGTGCACTGATGATAGCTTTTACTTGGCTGGTGGCATTTCTTACGTACGGAACGCATTTGTTTACCTTCAAGTTATCCGTCGAGGAAGAGGGCCCGACTTGTCATCAGAGCTGGAAGCAGATGGTTGCAGATTCAGTCAAGGCTAGGGAAATCGAATTTGTTTTGCATACAGTTCTGTCGGTGATCGTTCCATTTATCGTTGTTACTGCCTTTTATTCAACCATCCTCATCAGAATCAGACGGTCGTCTGTTCCCGGTGAAGCATCTTCGAGGGCACGAATACGACAACAAAAGCGTAACCGAAATGTGCTTCACATGTTACTTGCAGTGGTAATAGCTTTTGGCATCTGTTGGTTTCCATTCATTGTCTGCAACTATGTGCTAATGTTCGTCTGGGTGAGCAAAAACCGACCCCAAGATATCCCCTGTGGTTTGGAAATCTTTGGAGAATGGGCGATGTATCTGGCTTATCTTAATTCGTCTGTAAATCCTGTGATTTACTTTGTGTTCTGCGAGAATTACCGCAAAGGATTAATGAAGCTTACTTGGCCTTGCTTGTCTCCTTTCCGTAGCAAACAACATTCTGCTCGTTCAAAAGATACTGTCGAAATGCAATTTCAGGACCAAAACCGCAGAAGTAGGCGTAGGCTTCTTCGTGATCAACGTTAATGTGCTGATTTGCGTGTCAGTGACGTTCACCAGCTGTAACATCGGATAATAGGCTCTTAACAAAATTTACCTTTGAATTTCAAAACAAAGGGCCCAGTGAAGTGGATATTTTCTACGCCCGAGATGAAGTCAAAGATGTTGTTTTATCGATGTATGTTTATTTTTCCTTGGGCGAGTTGTATTCTCTGCTATTTTGCCACTTTCAGAAAGGCCAAAATGTAAATACAGCCCATCCTTTATGAATTCAAACTTTACCGAAAATGACAAACATAAATAAACAGGAAATACGAAACTGCGAAATTGAGAAAATCATAATAGATACAAATTAAAAAAAGTACTTTGGAGACTTTGGCAAATTTGGTCGTAGGTTATTGTATTCTCGCCCAATTTAATTTTTTACAAGTTGGTTTAAGTTCTTTTCTAAACAGCTTTTTTTTGGTGCCGTGTTGTTTTAGGCTATGATATACATCTGTTTGTACCCATTTTTAGCCAAAAGAAATAATAATCATGCCGGATAACTTAGCTGTGACGGACAAGTTGTTTGTACAAGTGTAATTAAATGTCGTAGACATTTTCTTCCCCAGCTGAGGGGATCTCACTTTATTTATTATGTGCTCCTTTCAACTATCATCAAGTTTTAGGTGTTTACCCAGAGAAAAGCTAAGTTATAGCGTGCAAGATAGAGCAACTAAAAAGAACGGAAAATTCTATAGTGAAATTGCTTGGAATATCTTTGCGGTGTTAGCTAAGGAAATAAAAGGATTTAATAAAGACAGGCAGATGTGACGCTTTTTTACTGAATTAAACCTGAGTAAATAATTCGTACGTTTTTAGAAAGACTTGAGTTTAATTATGCACATTTAAGGCAGAGGTGAATTTCTACCAGAGAAGCTGACAATTTGAAGAGAACTGAAGATTATGTAATCAATTTCGACAGTTTCGACGATTGCTCGATCTAGTACAAGTCAAAAGCCGAAAAACTGGACGCTCTCCCAGGCTATTTTTTGTACCCTCCGAACAACTCGTATAAAAAAATCATGTTTGGTTTCGGATACGATAAATCATGAGTGTCGCGAACATCTTTTACCTGAAATATATCTTTGCTTAGCTTTGCTACTGCTTTTAAAAGTTGTCAAGGAACTATATAGCAGTCCTTCAGTACGGACATAAAGCTGACTCGGACGTAATAAATAGGAAGGTAACCTTATCCCTACTAGGATCTTCTCAGGAATCACCGTGTACACCCGAGGACAATGCCGCTTGTCTCTATTCTCCCATCCATCACGGGACATTGACAACAGCGTTCGTTACAAAAGAAATAAGGAAAAACTGTGTTTTGATCGCAAACAAAGTTAGATTAGCGATGACCCCTACCACAGTTCTCCTTTTTCATGAATCTTTTCCATAGTATCCAATAGTTTCAATTGTAGCTCTTTTAATTCAATTTAGAAAAGGTTTTTTCCCAATTTTAGACTACTCTTCAGGGAATAAATTTTAACACTTTTTGACAAAGCAAGTTGACTTTGCAATTGAACTCTTTGGGCCTGTAGGTGTAAAGGAATTAATCCCAACTTGGACATCAAATATGAAACACAAAAATACATAGCTCTTAAGGCAAATAAGATCAGCCACTTCAAAAAGAAATGCAAAGTGTGACGTTAAATTAAGTAATTATCAGTAACTTAAGCAATACAGTACTTGTTTTCTTTTATTATGTGTTATTAAATATAATAGTATATATAATACTGTAATAATTATTTTGTTGTTGTTGTCTTGTATGTTGCAAAAGATAAAAAAAAATATGTCCTGTAAATAGAGAAATAATAAAAAATGTAAAATGTTGTTTTTCAAAACAATGTTTATGTAGGAGTAATAGTGGTAATGATTTCATTGGTTTAGATTAGAAAGTTCTACTGAACTTTTGTTCAGTTTTAACTGTCAATAAAGGTGGGAAAAAAAAGTTGACTTAGCAGCTCAATTTAGCTCAAAAGAAGATTTAACAAATCGACGTCGGTTTTTCATGCATCTCTCCTGTTATTGATCAGAAATTTCGTCATAACATTGTCAAAGTAGCTGTGGATCCGCAAACTACTTCCACAGTGTTATGACGAAATTCATGATCAATAATAGGACAGACGCATGAAAAACTGACGTCAATTTGTATTTTACGATAAAAAATTGTCAAATTGTCCGCTCTCGCTCGTTGACGCATCGCATAAATTATAAATTCATGTGTCTCTCCAGATATTGACAATGAAAATTAGCCAATGAGCGCGCGAGAATTTCTGCAGTTATCGTAAAAAATATAATTCATCCATCAAAGCCAGCCCCTGCTTCCTCAGCGACCTCTGTTTTTGGGAATGTCGCACTCGAAGTGACATGAACTCTTACGCCCCACATTGACAGTTTCACACTTAACATACAGCTTTTTAATGCTCTAAAAAGAAACTTTCAACTTTGCATTCGCGGTATCCAATAGAAAACAGACAATCCAATTCAGCAGACGCCTCAACCATTCCCTTCCTAGATTGAACCTATTCACTCAGGAGATTCCCTATGGCGTGCCAGTCCATTGTTGACTCCCACCCTTTTTCTCCCCTTCCTTCTTCTGAGCGGGTTCGTTGGTTAGTGTATCTTGCAGGGATCTTTTTCCTGTAAGATAAAGCTCACAAATAGCCGATGGCGGGCAATGTAAAGCTTATGAGGAAAGATGGAAAGACATCGGCGTTCTTTCTGTCGCCCCTGTCGATCTCTACCTTTAAGGGTTCCCTTTGCTTAAAAAACGGATACAATGAACTTAAGGCACCGTCCACATTACGCCGGAGGAATTTGAAAACGCAGCTTTATTTCCACGGTTAGGCCTGCCGTCCACAATAATCCGTCACGAAAACGGAGCTTTTCGAAAACGCTCCTTAAACCGGAGGAATTTGTAAACGGCGACTTCTCGGTTTCGTGTGGACGGAAAACATTTTGAGAAAGGAGCTTTCCGAAAACGATGGCGTTAGGATATTCATGTGATTTTCCTGACCGAGTTTTTCTCAAGCCCAAATCCAAAATGACCGGTGATTATTACGTTTTCGAATCTCTGCGGCGTAGTGTGGACTTAAAACATTTGCTTCGTTTTCAGAGTGAAACCTCCGTTTTCAAATTCTTCCGGCGTAGTGTGGACGGGGCTTAAGCAACGGCAAAGACGGCAACGAAAACGTCACCAAGCAAAAGGCTAAATGAGTAAAGCAATGGTTATGCACGTGCCTTTTAAATCTTTGTATATTTCGTAGTCGTGCTTTGCAAAGCAACAACGTGAAATGACCAAGTTCTGCATATTTTGGAGAACGTAGGTCACAACTACAAATTTTTATTTCTTTTTGGAATTGATCGCTCGCATTACATATTTAGTTTGAGCAAGTGTTTAGACCGAATGGCGTACTGAGCAGATTCATACAGTTGCAAAATTCGAGGGTAAAATATACGTCTATTTTTTAATAGGTGTCGTCCCTGGCGCCTATCAATTTGCTTAATTCCACTGACCAGCACTGAGCTTCCCGCCCACCCAATGTCACGTCTCGGAAGCATATACCGGAAATTTAATAAAACCTAGATCTCTAATCTGCAGTGAAAGACGCTCTCACTCATCAATAATTGATCAATGACGGTATTGGGTAGGCTTTGGGTATAAATTTAGTCCTTGTGTCTTCTAAAATGGTTCAAAATACATTACACTGTATTGTGTGACTGTTTGATTCCAGTACATAGTAATTAGGGTACAGCCTATCTGTACAGCGCTTTTGTCACACCTACAGCGGTCAATTAGCCAATGAAACGTCAACAATTTACAAACAACCGGCGTTTTGAGCTGTTTGTCTTTTTATAAGCGAAGTGCATTTTCTAATTATCTTTGCGGAAACAGCACAACAAATAGGACACTGAAATGATATGGTTTCTGGGGGCTTTAGTTCTTTGTTCTCCATACGCCACACGTTCCCCGCAATTTTCAGTTAGCAGAATACTTCTTTTTCTTTGAATCCACATGAAAGTACCGTTCCCTAGCTTTAATTTGAATCGTCACATACGTGGGTGTTATGCATAGGTGTAAAATAGACAATCCCATATGCAAGTTTTACACAGCAGCTTTCGCTGAAATGGTCGGTCGTTTTGAACTAATATCGCATTTCCCAAAAATGTCTTGCTTTTTGTAAAATGGCTGTTAAAATATTGTTTTTTGTTGCGAGAAACAAAGTGCATGACCGATTCGTCAAGCCTTCTGATTCACGAGTGGAATGGAAGAGATACTTAATATTTTCTACGACTTTGTGGCAAGTACAAGTGCAAAACCTCAGGGTAATAAATTTTTGAAGTATTCATTCATAATAAATATTCGTCAGTAACCTCAAGACCAAAATTCGTGAAATGTCAACAAAACACCTCTCTCCTTTCCTAGGTTTACTTAAATGGTTATTGTAAACTGCTGTTTCAATTTACAGCTTTGCGTAAGCGCGAACAATTTTAGACCTTTTGTAAACTCCGAGAACAAAACTGATTACGCTCTTGTCAAATCAATTAAAGAGATGGCTACATTTAGGTAAACACAATTTAAAATGTAGATGTAGTTTCACTACCCCTAAGCTAGAAAACGACATAATGTAAATCGTTTAAAAACCAACAATAAATAAGAAAACGGCTTAGTTAAGGTCAGAGGACGAGAATCAGGCGGCGAGTTCCCTAAAATGAACATTCTCCCACTGTAAGTGTTCTTCTCAGCAAAGCGCATTTATATGTTATCAGGGTCGCAGCGTCCATCAGATGGAATTTAGCACGCGATTTAATTTTAATCCCAAATTGTTTGACATGGGCGGAAACCAATATTGACTTAACTTTGTAAGCACTTTGACAACCGAACAGAAGCTTCCTTTTATAGTTACCCGCGCGCAAATAGGTTGCCACACGATTATTCTTTACAGTTGCGATCGATCAGGGTTTTTGAAACCAAACGAGAATAGTTGTGGAGAAATAGGCGAGTATCAACCTGGTAATTAGGATGGCAAACGTGAGCACAACGCCCAGTAACGCTACCGTGCCTCCAGCTGATTGCTCTGTCTACCCCACTGCAGAAAAAATCGGTAAAACCTTTGCTTACTGTGTTATCATAGTTGTGTCGCTCACTGGCAACTTTCTCATTGGAGCGATTGTAATCGGCATAAAATCCATGAGGAGAACGATCAACTACCTAATCTTAAACATGGCCATGTCCGACCTCATTCTCCCAGTTTTTGCCTTTCCGCGTCTTCTTACAGAGTTGTACGTCGGTTACTGGCTCATAGATGGCGACTTTGGCTTGGCGTTGTGTAAACTGGCCTACTTTATGC